CCGCGCTGTGGGGCTGTGCCCCCGCCAGTGGTGGGGACCGTCCCCGTGGGACACACACACATACGTGCTGTGCTTGGCAGCCGCAGCATCCTGCTGGGGGTGGCCATGGGGTGCAGCGTGGGGCCGGCCGGCTGCCTGCAGGCTCCTGTGGGGACTCAGCATCAGCAGGCTGCCAGGATGGCATCGGGGACAGGGGACATCCCCCAGAGGCACATGGGGGGCACCCGGCATCCCCCTCGGGACCTACCAGCTGTAGGGGCGCTGGGATTTTCCAGCTGTAGCGGCGCTGGAAGGCGTCCTGCAGCCGTGCCAGGTACTGCTCCTCCCTGCGCAGGTCGTGGTCGTCGGCCAGGCGAAGGGCCAGGTAGACGCTGGGGTCGGGGTCCCGTGCCGGGTCCACCGCCAGCCCCAGCAGCCGGGCGCTCAGTGCCCGCACCGCGCCTCTCCCGGGGCTTCTACCCGCCACGGCCCCGGGGAGAGGGAGCGGAGGGTCAGGGGGGGCAGGAGGGGGCCGAGCCCACCCCAAGCACCGGCCCCGCAGCATCTGCAGCCCCCGGCACTGGTTGCATGGGGCCACGGCGGTGATGGAGACCCAGCACCCCAACGCTGCTGTGCGTCCCGTGCCCTCTGCGCCCCTCCATCAAGTCCCAAAACCCCAAGTCTCCCCCCAAAATATAGGGAAGAAACAAAATAAGAGATGTGACATGAGGCAGGAGCGTGGAGATCCCAAAGCCTGGGCACAGCCACCCTTCCACCGTGCCCGTGGGGCTGGCAGGGGGCTGGGGTGGCACCCCTGTCCCCAGGGACCCTGCGGGACCTGTGCGGTGGGGGGGGCTGCAGGCGCAGGAGCAGGGCAGGCTGGCTCTGGGCTTTGGACAGGCGAAGGGGGCGCAGGAATAAGGCTTAACCCCGGCGGGTGCTGGGGAGAGCTCAGCCCCGGCAAACTCATCACTGGAGGGGTTTCACGAGACCAATGTCCTCCCTGGGGCCGGGGCACGAGGCTGGAGTACGGTATGGCGCCCGTGCCCCCCAGCCCCGCTCCTCGGGGACCTCTCCGCTGCAGCCAGCTCAGGGACCCGCTCCAGGCACCGTCCCGCACAGGTGAGACCCCCCGGGGTCCTCAGGCGGAATGTGGGGGTCTGGGGGCTGCAGCGCTGCCTTCCTCACCGCAGAGCTGGGCAGGCAGGACTGCAGCCTGCAGCAGGACGAGGAGCAGCCACATGCCGGAGCAGGGCGGTGTGTGCCGTGGCACAGCACAGCACGGCAGGCACCCCGGCAGAGGCAGGCAGAGCCCAGCCGAGTTGAGCCGGGACGCTGCCGGGGATGGGAAGCTGTCACAAGGGGCCGTTTCCGCACACCGGGGCCAAGTCAGCAGAAACGGGGAAGGACGC